TGTGTGTGTGTCTGTTGAGAAATAGCCCAAGGGAACTCCATAGGCTCATCTCTTTATGTCCCCACCATCTGCACCAACCCATGGTGGGGTTTCCTCCCCATCTCAGGCACAGAGGAAGGACTGTTTTCCCCATGTATATAGTGAAACTGCATCCATGGCTGGTCACAGTTCTGTTTCTAACCAGCCTGAAAATTTTCCATGTCCACGAGTTGTGTTTTTCGTGAACTAAAAGCTGCATGAACAGATCTAGACAAAGGTATATATTTTCTTCTGAGTAGTTGATATTTGAGTAACTGCCTTGAAGCAGGAGTTGGAAGGTACTCAGTATTTGCCAGTATTAAGGAGAAATATGTTAATTCTCTAAAAGCAGTGCATGCTACCATGTTTTTCCAGTAGTTGCTAGGAAGAAGATTAATAGTCAAAATTCTGTAATGGAAAATCTTTTAGCTATTTTTACTTAAATTTGGAAAAAACACAGGCTCCTTGGTGCAGATATTCTTTTTGTGTTGTTCCATGGGCATATAGCACAGCAGTATATGTCCATGCTTTGGAGATCATGAGACTTTATGCTATCTTTGTAGTAGAAACAGAATTCTTACAATGTTATCATACAAAATATGAATTTTAATATTAAGCTTAATGCTCCGCTATGATAAATATGTAAACTTGGCTTTGGAGCAGCAGTATGCACTTCCTGGAATTCTGTGCATAGCATGGTTATAAATAAGCAGCAGGTTATTTGGGAATCACTAGGGCTGATATCTGGTATCATAAACAGTATCTGGGAGAAATTGTTTTCCCTGACAGACAGTTGATTTTTGAAGAATGCAATATGCTTTATTTTGAAAATTCGTATCTTATTAATGAATACCAAGTACACATCGAGCACAGTGACCAGCTCACAAAGCAAACACATAGATGCTATTTAATTACTTTATACCTCATCTGTTGCCAAAATTTCATTCCTTTGACTGTTGAATATAACATTTCCAATGTAGATCAAAATGCTAGAATTCATCATGTTCAGGTAAGATACTGAAATGATTGATATGTGTAGGAATGTCAGTGTATGGTTTAAGTCTGGCTTTAAAATAGATTAATTTCAAAGGGAGTTTTCTTGTGTTTGTACATGTGTATAGTATATAGCATTGGAAACATTATGTATTTGTAGTCAATTAAATAGGCTTTTAAAAATCCTTAGAAAGTATTCCCTTTGTTATTCAAGCTCTTAATAAGCTACAAAAATCAGTGTTTTCTGCTTCATTGTTATGTTTTATTGATGTATTGTTACTTGATGTATAACATCATGGTTATAGGAGAATTTGGGATGGAGTAGCTGCAAGAACAGAACCACCCCACTCAGTGGCATAAATTCTAGATTTGATGTATTAATAAAACCTGGGTGTCGTGAGCGGGTGGTGTTTTCTCACCTCGGGTTTCTGTTTGACCCCCCGTGCGTGGGCACTCTGCAAAACGGGCTGGGGCAGCCCTGGCCCAGCGGGGCCTGGCCCCGTGGTGGCCTGGCGGGGCCCTGTGCAGCAGGCTCAGGGACACAGCCTGTGTCCTGCCCAGCAGCCTGCCTTTGCCATGGCGGTTCCACTCAGGCTCAGCAGCCTGCACTGCTTGGGACCTGCGTACGTGTGCCGCGGCCTGTTTCCACTCTTCGCTTCTTCCCAGCTCCCACGGCACGCCACCAGTGGTCTCCAGTAGAGGGGCTCCAGCTGATCTCTGTGGCTTTCTCCCCATAACACAGATTATTAGCAGTTTCCTGGGTTACTGTCCCCTCCAGCCTTCCTCCCTGAGCTCGTGGCAGGGCCATGGAGCTGCTTCTGGTGCATCCGTGTTCCCCTGTTCCTCCTCTGCCTGTGCCACAGCCTGGGAGCCGGGCAGACGCTGCCCAGGCTTCTTTGGCAGAGCTTTCCGCTTGGCCTCCCTGTGGCTGGGATCTCTGGTCTTGCTGCTCTGGCCCATACCAGCATCATCTGGTCAGTGGGAGGTGAGCAGATGCAGCCCGGGCCTCATTTTGTCTGCATGGTGCTTTTAGCTAGGTCTCCTTGTGACGGCTGTCCATATGGCTATGTCACTGGGTTACCCTGTGTTTAGAACAGCCTGTGTATTTCTGATGTATGAAAAAGTATCTGCATTTCAGACGATTTGTTTCAGGTTGGCTGTGTTTCAGGCCAAAATTATTGTAAGATGAAAGGTTTCCTCAGCTGTGGGTGGATTGTGAAAGAAATAATAAGTGCTGGTGGGAATTAAGAGTGTAGAGACAGCAGCGTGACATTGCTGCCATCCCTCTTTTGATCCCTTCTGTGAGGACTCTGTTCCCCTCAGGAGAGCTTTTACAGCCCTGAGGGTAGGTGTTTTGTTAACCTCTGAGGGACACAGAGCAGGAGAAGGCTCCTACTGGTGAGGGTTCAGCAGAACAACCCCCCCGGTGCCCTGTGATGCAGCTGTAACTTCCATGGGGGCTCAGAAGCTGTGCAATTCCTCTGGGGATCTGGTTGCATGAAGGCAGGCTTGGGACTGTCTTGCTGCAGCCTCTCTCTTCAACAAGAATTCGGTCGGGGGTCCTCAGTGGTTTTGTGGAGTTTCTGGGTTGTTGGGGGTTTTGCCATGTTTTTAATGGCTTTCATCACAGGAAGAATGGAAGGAATCTTAATCTGAGTCGCTAGAACAGTGAACTGCTGTTATAAATGAGCAAATGACAATCATAATCAATGAGTAGATTAGATTAGCTGCAGAGCTGATTTCCAGCACGTCCACATCACAACTGTGTGGGAAACCTCATATAGCTCTGAAGATACTCTTGCTAGATATTGCCCAAAGTCATACCGTGTGCATCCAATTAGGTTAAGTGCAAACACGTTGATGAAAATCTTACCAGAAAGGTAAACTGTTTATAAAGGAGAAATTGGAATATTTATCTGGTGTCTGCACAGCTTCTTCTGAATATTGTTGGTCTAGTCACTACTTCTCTTCACAGAACTTGAGAGCGCCTGGACCTGGTATCGCAGGCCAATACGCTGCTACTTGTGGTCTTATTCTCATTATGCACTATATTTTGATGGGAGTGTGTGACTTGATTCATTTTCCTTGTGTGAGTACTCTGTCACATTCCGCGGTACTTCATGGTACCAGTCAGCTACTCAGACACATGGCATTATAAGGTAACGCAGTGCTAAGAGACCGAAAGGAATGTCTCCATGCAGTGCCTGACTATACTGCCTGTGGTTTTTATTGGTTTTATTTCTGGGTTGCCCTCTATTACTTACCAGCAGGGAAGATCAACTCATCCATGTGCATGCGATTCAAACAGGGAGATGGCCCACATTTTTGGTTTGTTCAGGGATGTGTTGGAGTTGGATGGATAATAACAGCCACATTTTAAAGAAAAATCACCCCTGAGATTTAGGTTGATTGACAATAAAAGGTACTAGTGCAACTCTTCAGGTGCCACTGTTAATCATAAAAAATGTTAAATGTTAAGTTAGTTTTTAGGTGTCTCTAAGTGAGCAGTGCTTTAAAGTTATAATTTATTTAAAGAAATCACAGTCCATTCAGTACGCAAATATTTTCAGCTAAAAATGTTATATCTAGTGTAACTGAATATACAGATTGAACAGACATTATTGTTTGGTGAGAAAATTGATCAGAGTTATTTCTTTCTAGGCTTTATTGAGCTGCAAAGTGAGTGGTAACAGTACACATTTTCCTTCTCAAAGTCTATCCTTGGTTTGTCCACCTCTGCTAATATTTCATGTTCCTTTTCTTCTGTCTGTCCTTTTAAGTGGATTGCTAGATTGAGATACCCTGTGTGAATTTTTATGTTCTTTAAAGTGGTAGGTATGAATGGGTGATTAGGCCTCTGCATGCAGTCCAGTCTGAGCATCTTCAGGAATCATTGAGTATTGCAAAGATCAAATAGATCTTTGAACTTCTAGACCTTGAAGGGCTCTCTTTATCCTGTCATCTTCATAGTTGTAAAATGGGTATGGAATATAGTTTGCAGAGTTATGAATAATGGTTCAAATACCCAGTAATAAAGGTATAGTTAGATGAAGACTGGGTCCTGCTGTCAGCTTGTCAGTGGTTACCTCTGTGGGAGATGGTGCCTTGGTTTGTTCACTCTGAGAGAAGGTGGTGATCAAACAGATAGTGAAGAACATGCAGGAAAGTAGTGTTTATCACTTATATATGGGCATAAGTGTGCACAAGTGAATTTTTGATGGCACTGTGCGGCCCAAATGTTGGCATAGCCACATCCACGTGCTTAACTTGAAGCAGGGCATGAACAGTCAAATCTTCAAGTGGGAAATACAGGATTACTCAAAAGGCTGGTTATAAGGGTGTGTAATTGTTCCTCACAAAGTAAGCATTCTGAATTAATGGAACAGCATTCTTTAAAACAAACAAAAAGTTCCAATACTTTAGTTTCTGTTTGGTAAAGTGAGAAAACAAGTTTTTATTTCGGGGAAAAACATTTACAATTCATGCAGTTCTACCTTTGCTGTTTGGATGTTGGGTTCCCCTCCCTTCCCTGTCAGGTGTGCATATGAGGTTTTCCTTAAAAAAAAAAAAAAAAGAAAAAAAAGAAAAAGTCACCAAGGTTTGGCGTGAACATTTCAATGACATGGTGAATAGTAATTTCACTCTACTTTTTAATGCGTGTGGAGACTAATTCACAGAAAGAATAGACTATTACTTTGTGCTTTGAATTATGCATGGGCTGTCAGAGGAAATAAAATTTCATCAGTACTTAACATACACACTGTGGACTAAGAAGCTGGTTTGAACTGTCACAGAAAATGCTCTGCTGAAATAGATAAATTATAACAACAGATAATGTGCAACAATAAAGGGATAGAAACCAGTAATTGCTAAAATAATGGTACTCAACCATCTTTATTTTTGCTTCATTGACTGGATTGATGTTTATCAATGTTTGCTTTTCTGATGTAAAATTACTCCTTTTTTTGCCTTTTCTTTCTATTTGACAGACTAGAGACGACTTCCTGGGTCAAGTGGATGTGCCACTTAGTCACCTTCCGGTAAGCAGTGCTTTTGTTTCAGTGTGCTCTTTTTTGTCATCACCAGATGTGAAAAACCGTGATGTGATGTAGAATTTATTTCCATAAGTAGTACAGTTAAATTTTCTTAAAGCAAGCATTCCCAGCATAGTATTATTAGAGGCTTAAACAAAAATGTTGTGGACAACAAAGCCCCGCTGTGCACAGGAATTGGGAGAAATGGTTCCCTTTGCAGGGACAAGGAAGACAGTTGTTCTCTGGTATCTGTTAATTTTCTCAACATCCAGGATCCGCTTCTCATCCTGATTATTTCTTAAAATCCTTGTCTGGTCTGAGACAATTCATGAATGACATGTGACCAATAGACTGGTTGTTTCTTACTTTACTGTTGGTGATTATTGTCCTATTAATCTTCTGGCTTTTTCCTTTTCATGAATTTCCCTTACGGTTGACACAGTTGTGTTCTCCCTTAGCAAACTCCATTTACTCCAGAACTTTTGTTAAAACAATGAAAAAAACACATTTTGGGAGTCCGATTTATCTGTCTGATTTTCTGTCTAAATGATATGCTGTTAAGGTTATGGGATAGTAGTTCTGTCTGGAAAAGGGAATAGCACATATTGATACTACTTCAAATCTTGTAAAGCCAATAGCCACAGACTGAAAACAGAGAAACTGCTGAACCAGCATGATGGGGTCTTAAGAAGTTACAAAAATTCAGTTCTTCTGAAAATGTTATAAAATTACTGATCTTTGTAGCAAATTTGTAAAATTATTGGTTTTATTACTGATTGAAAGTAGGACACCTAAGTAATAATGGAAGTAGTGAGAAATTCATCAGTGCTACAGTACATACAACAACATTCATTAGACATTGACATTAGATGTTATTGATACTAATAATTATACAAGCTGTGATATTGCCCAAGCATACATTATAGCTTTTAATGTGCATACAGATAACTTTTAATGTCTATACATGTATAAATAGATTTTTTTTTCTTTAAGAGATGTGAGGTGCCTATTGCCTTTCCTGTGTGATAGGAAAATATGTGTTTTGGATGTTTCCCAATTTTAAACAGCTTAAATACATTACATGCAAAGAAATAGGAATGAAGTAACTTAGAAAAACTGATACTTGGAGGGTTTTCTTATTTTTTTTTTAAAGTTAGAGTTTAGCCTGTTTTCAGTGTCATTCATTTACAGAAGTTCTCTGAAACACCAAACATACCATTGTATGGGTACCTCGGTTTGTTTTATACAGATAGGTAAAGTGATAGTTACTGAGATATGACAACTTCATGTCTGGCGTCTCTGTTACATGTAGAGGTGAGCCCTGAGATGACTAGAGCGCATCAGCTGAGAGCTGCCACACCACTGTGTTGTGCCAGCGTGTGCCTGGCTGGTTGCTTTTCCTCGCATGTTATGAACTCTGACTAGGAGAGGTTACATTCTCAGTAGACGTACTGCGGATGCAAATCCAGGTTTTCTAGGAACTGATGTTGCTGTCTTCTGGGTATGTAGTTCAGTGCGCGTTTCTGTAAGCAGTGGTGTTCGCTTGGGCAGTCCCCTGCCATTTATTCACACCCTCTTGTTGCCTGCTTAATTATCCTGGGTCTAATGCTCACATGATACAAGAGGTGAACTAGATCTGCGTTATTCATAACTAGTTAGTTTTGGGTGGTTTATTTTTTAACTCGGACTGTTTCCTTTGTCCAGTTTATGAAATGGCCATGCAAACAGCTGTACTGGCCTTGGTGCAGGAATAATCACCAGAGGGGAGACTCTTAAAGTCGGCACTGCTTCTGAAAGATGTACCCATGACTTCAATTAGTGACTTGCATTATTGTTGGTAGTGGTGACATAGAGGTAACACACTGCTAGTTTGCATCAGATATGCATGGAAAGGGACGCACATCTGTGGTCAGAGAAACCTTCTGTGCAAAGAAAAAGGTGGTATAGATAAGCCCAATTAAGCTTCATTTTAGCAGATTTGCTTCAGCAAATGCCTGGAAAACCAAAGGCTGCAAGTACAATGTGGTGTATTCATTATTTTAGCTAAAATTGAATTCTTTGCCAGCAGTAAGAGTTCTAATAGCAAATAAATAAAAGTAATTGACACAGAGTTTGAATCATTTTATTGTCAACAATCAAATGTTTGAGGTGTTTGATTTGAGGGTGGTAATGTTTTCTCTATTTGTTTTTGTTTCTTAATAAATGGAGGGATTCTAAGAGTAGAGCTTGTTCCAGAATTCTATAAAGCTCCAGTTGTCTGTTTTCTTCCTAGCAGCCAAGATTCTACATTGTCTTCACACAGCAAGCAAAATTACAGAATAAATTAAGTGGAATTTCTGTTTACTATATAATCAAGGGTGGGGTTCTCCTCCTCTAATTCTATGAGCATAGAATTGACATAGCGCTGGCTGGCTGTAAATTATGATGTGAAACTCCATCTTCAGGTTTTTGTAGACACTGCATATAATATGTCCACAGAAGGATGCTCAACATTCAGAGACTAGTGAATACTATCCTAAATGTAATCATAATCCAATAAAGACAGTGGCAGAATTGTTACTGACTCCAGTGCATTCAAGCTTTCACTGTCAGACTTTTTCACTGAAAAATTCTAAGGGAAATGTCTGTGCCTCTGCTTTTGGTTGATGGGCCCACATCAAATCTGTTTCTATTGGAAACTGCTGAAAAGGCTGAAGACACTGTGCTAGGTTGGAGATTCTGTAGGGATGCTGTAGGGAAAAAGACAAATAACTAAAAATTAAGATTTTTTTGAAATTACGTGTGTGATGTTGGGTATTTCATGAGGAATTATTTTACACAGAGCCTGCCATCAAGAAAGGCGAAGTGGTAGAACAAAGAGGGTCCATGTGACGCTCAAATTGTATGAAGCTTGAAGTTAACCTCAGTTTATACCCACAGCAGATAAAGTCTATACGTTGCTTAGAAAACTTACTTTACACAATGCTAGGTATATGCCTATAGTACTACCACCCCATGCTGTAAAAGCCTCATTTAAAATTATTTTCAAAGATAAGTGAAAATGAGTTCTTTATCTCATGGGTCGATTTGTGTGAGTTTCAGTTTTTCAATATTGCTGTATGGTCTTTCTTTTTTTTTTTTTGTTTTCTTCTCCTCTTAGTAGACAAAAATCCAAAGTGAACTTTGCAGAAAATTTTTACACCAAAAAAGCATTTCTTTTGTCTTCTTGTATTCATATTGTACTTTACCCTATGCTTCAAAGCTGAATTTAATCACTGACAGAAGAACTGAAGTTAGAATGTCACAGGGCACAAAAAGTATGAAACACTGCAGTTGTTTTTCATCATCTTTGTAAATAGTAAAAAATAAACTTTATACTTCATTAAGTTTTCTAGTAAATTCTACATATGTATATATGTATACAGTGATTGTTTTATGCTCAGTGTAAGTGTTTTCTGATATTATGTAATGTTTTGGATGACTAACATTGTCTGGATGTAGATAATATTTTTAAAATGTTGTACATGTTAATATTACTCACTTCCATGAACTTGGAGGAGTTTTTTTGTATTTGAACGAGGGAACATGGGAATGGTGGAAGTTATTGAAAATGTTTACATCAAAATAAGGTGTCAATTTTAGTGTGACTATTGCCATTTGTGCCTGAATTTGACTTCTTGCTATTGATGAATATTATTGTAGGAGGACAATGGCCTTGTAGACTTTGACAGTGATGCTTATTTAGATGTGTCTGTTGTGGTTGATCTTAAGTCATAACACTGTTGTTGGCTTATAAGCTATAGCAGCTGAAAAATATGATGGAATGATCAGAAATGTATTCTGATGAAAAATGGATCATTCCATTCTCATATGAGCTGTATTGTGTAGTATTACTTTATCTGTACTTGTGTGTATATTTCCATTTGCGTGTATCCATATGCACAGACATTATCTACATAGCCTGTACATAACTGTAGAAAAAGTCCTTCAGTGTTAAGCTACATGTGTCCTGCAGACAATGTACTATGAAATATAAAATGATGAGGGACATGTTAGTGCATGCCTATTTTGCAGTCAGGTAGTATTTTGAAGTTCCTTTTTAGTAAACGTTATTTTTAATAACTAAAAATCATCGGCAAGATTTGAGGTAGAGCTGTAGACACGGCACACACTTCCTGTGAGCAGTTTTGAGGAATTAGCAGCTTTTTGTTTTCCTTCCATATTCTGTAGGAAGAGAATAACTCTCCTGTCCTCTCACTGGGGACTTACATAGAGTATGAGTGTGCATATCTCTTTCTAGCTCATATTTGAGTGGAATGCTAAACTTTTTCAAGTTGTTTTAAAGTCTTCTACTGCCTTTACATAGAAAATCCAAGATTGTAAAATTTCCTGCATCAGCTACTTAACTGCCGTTGATGAATAAAATCCGTTATGCTAAAATGATGAAATTCTGCAGTCTAGAACTTCCCATTGCCTTTTAGGCTCACTAGAAAGTGAATGTGATGCCTGTACAAAATCCTTCCTCACTCCCCATCATCGCAGAAAATGTCTTCAGTTCCAGAGGCCACTTTTTTCCCCCAGAATTTCCTCTGGGAACATTCACAATATGTATCTCAGAACAGTCCTTCTTTCAATAGCTGTAATGTAGCAGTGTCTCCACAGGGTGCTTACCTACCTGCCTGTGGGTGTGTTCTCATACTCTGTTACAATTAGTTAGTTGCTTATTAGTTGCATGCTTATTAAGGTGTGTGTACTGATTTGATGCTCAGGGAAACATACTGTATATCTTCATGTTCTAATCAATATTTTCCTCATTCATCCTTCCAGTACCTTAGTAAGAGACATCGTGGTGTACTTATTAACAAATGTTTGCTTTCTCATTCTAGCTGTGCTGCTGATTTGTTTGTCAAAATCCTGTTTTCTCTAATACTATCTAATTACTATCTACAAAATTTGGTTAAAATATACAGCTTCTTATTTTATGTATGTTACTTACAGTTGAGTACTAGAAAGCAGTACTTCTTAATCATGCATGCTTTGATGTCCTGTTGATTTGGTTAAAATCTACTGTCTCTGAAAAAAATGGGAAGTCTGTCTCTCACAGATTAAGTGGACACTCAAGGCAGGAAATGCCTTGCAGAATAAGAGTTCAGGCAGTGGAAAGAAAGTCTGTATGGTATTTGATATAATATCTGAGATAATGAGTTAGGATTGATTTTTAAATTCTTATTTATTGACTTTGAAATAGAACAGACAACAAAGCATTTAATGAAGAATAGTCTGGGAGTTAGATTATTCTGCGTTTAGAAAGGTTTAGTTAAAGAATTGGACTCGAGAAGTATTCCTATTTGTAGGGCTAAGGCTGGGAAGGGATTTACAGATATACTATAATTTTTTTTTAGTGGATGAAAGATAGGCAAAACATTCTGAGGAGTACCCACTAACTTTGTGCTCATTTTGAGAAAGTTTGGTGTTAATCTGAGGTACAAGATCTGTAGTTTTGCCAGAATGTGTATGATAATGTGCTTACTCTTTCAGTGTAACACAGTTCATGCTTCCAATTTTGTCAGCCCAAATCGTACGATCGGTTAGAATAAAGTACCCCAAACAATCAACAGATGAAGTATGTATACAAATTTCTGGTTCTCTCATTTACCTTGTCATTTTTAAATTCCTAGTTTTCTACCTATAGCATCTGTGTTCTCGCAGACATGAAGAATGTAACTTATTTTATAAGAAAGCTGAAACTCTCATGTACTAGAAAGTTTGCAAGATTTAAGGCTTTATGAAACTTACAATTAAATGGAAATTGGAAGATGTAATCTGTCAGCTTGATAATATTACTTATGTATGTCGTGAACGATTTCAAAGTCTTAATTATTTTTGAAAGCCTCAACTGCTTTGAAATAAAAAATGAAAGCCAACTCAGGAGGAGTTTTATTTCATTGCTTTCTAATGTGCAGAAAAAATACTGCTTCGAAATAGATGCAGCCTTTTCTGACACTGCTGTTGGATGACTGGAAGAAGTTGGAAGGGGTCTGTTTAGTTGGTCTTTTCCACCTTTTTCCAAGTTGTGAAGGTTGGGATCGCTTACAGATGATGGTTCAGCCCATCACTGGTATATCTAGTGACATCTAGTGGAGTGCTGCTGCAGCTGGGTATTAACAGCGAGCCGTAACACACTGGTCTAGAGGTCTGCCTGCTCTAACTTTGTCATGTAAACATCTTCTCTAGCGTTTCTACTGCATCTGTGACGTGAACGTTCTTTATATGTCTCTGTACTTGTGGGAAAGCCCTTTAATTTGCCATTTTCTTAAATGCTTATAGACTGAAGACCCAACCATGGAAAGGCCATACACATTTAAGGATTTCCTTCTCAGACCAAGAAGGTGAGGGGGAGGACCTTTGTATTTTAAAACATTTCTTACTTTAAGGTTTGTTATTTGCAACTATTTAAGGGTTGTTGAATGAAATGTACCTCCTTGTCTTCTAGCCACAAATCTCGTGTAAAGGGTTTCTTGAGACTGAAGATGGCTTATTTGCCTAAAAATGGTGGCCAAGAAGAAGAAAACAATGATCAAAGGGATGAATCTGAGGTAAGGCTTAATGCTTGTGGAAGCATTCAAGTCATTAGAGATTGAAGTACAATTGTAGAAAAAGTTGCACCTTGAAAAATAAAACCCTGGTAGCAGTGTTAGTAGCAGCTTACTCTTTCCCCCTGCTCCAGCTTTTTTTTTTTTTTTAAACCATAACTGTTTTCTCAACCATTTCAAGTATTTCAAAGGATTTCAGCTGCCATAGTGAATTCTAAAGTTTGTCTGTCTCAGTTTGTGAGCAAGTAGAAGTGGAAGTTGTGCCAAGTAGAAGAATTCAGAGAGTCTATGCAATTAATTTATAGGCATAATGGTCTATATTAGGTACCTCGTCTTCAGAGGCCATTTCGAAATAGGTGTTATAACATTTTTCTTTATTTCCTCAGCAGCGTTGACTTTGCAGAGAATAAAGCTCATGCAAGCACAGCAGGTTTAAAGACTTCACAGCACTCTTATCAGCCATCATCTATTTTAAGAATTAGCTGCAATTATGGCTGACAAAGTGAATGTCAGCCCAAGTTTGCCTTACTTACTAATAGTGTGTAACAGTCATCTGTAACTTGAGAATGAGGTCTCTCATCCCAAGGCATACATCTCTGAGTTCAAAAGTTAGCAGCCAGATCTCTTTGACTTCTTCGCTGGGAATCTGCACCTAGCCACCACTAGAACAAGCAACCACCCAAATACATTTGGGAATCCCTGTTGTAATACACTGATGGGATTTTAGTTTTTTTGTCATTGAAATGAGGTGCACACTGTAACCACAGATTTTATTCTATTTCTATATGGTTTACATTCAAGTAATTTTGAACTTCTCTTTGGAAAACTTTCAGAATCTGCACCTATAGGCTAATGTAAGAAACAATTAAATAACTTCCCTTTAACTTGAACTTTAAAATTTTAACAAATTTTTTTTTCTTCATTCTGAAGCATGGATGGGATGTGGTTGATCCCAATGACTCCGCATCTCAACGTCAGGAGGAGTTACCACCTCCTCCGCTGCCTCCTGGATGGGAAGAAAAGGTGGACAACCTGGGGCGGACTTACTATGTCAACCATAACAACAGGACTACTCAGTGGCATCGACCAAGTTTAATGTAAGTGGCAATGCAGTGCAATGTTTTGTGGATGTGTGCAAAATTATCAATAAGGGTAGTGATTTTTTCCAACATGATCATTTTAAATTTACAAATTTAAGGCTGGAAAAAGTCTTTAAGCAAGACTTTTACTAAGGAGTTTATAAAGGCACACTATTCTTTTCAGTAACAGATTAATCATGATTTTGGTTCTGTGCTACGTACCTCCTGAAACTATATTAATGGAAAAATTTTCACAGATGTGCTAGTAAATTGAGAACGAAAGTCTGGATATCTTCAGTTAAAAAGGAAACTTTTTTTTTTTTTTTTAAATGAAAGAGACTTCCCTACCCCCAGCAAATCACATATACACATAGGTATTCTGGGAAATTCTAGGAAATCTGAAGGAGTGGGAGGGAAGTCAGTGCATTAAGAACATACCTTAGAGTATTGGGAGACAGATGTGGAATTTTTCTGTAAGTAATTTAACAGGAATAAATTACTTGCTTCTATAGAGAATGTTGAAAAGGTAAGGAAAAAAAAATGTCAACTCTTGAGTTTTAATTAAGTTAAACTGATTAACTTGAGGAGATCCTGATTGTTATTCAGTGTATAAACTGCATTACCTATGTACACTGGTTGTACCAATGTGGAGTTCCTGTTCAAGCCTTCATTATATATTTCTTACAATTAGATTTACAAAGCTGTGGCAAGATTACATTTTGAAAAGTATGTATAATTTACAATATTAAGAGTTATACTGAAATCATGTATTAGTTAAACATCTTGCATTATTTTTATGTAGCAACTATTCTTCCACTATTGCTTATTACAACACTAATGGTTATTCTTTCTTGAATATTCATAGTCATAGGTAAATTATGCAAATGTTTGTTGTTCTTATTTAAGGCACTCTTTGTTCTTGTATGATGCGTTTACTGTAGTTAGAATTGAATTAAATTTTGTTCTGTATGTTTTGAACTATTTACTATTGAACTATTTGAGCTATTTACTAAGCAATGTGTATTTTGTCAAGTAAATCTCATCAACTGCTATAATTTATGATTGGCAATGGTCAATAAGTGTCTATAAAAAAGCAGGTTTTATAAATTATTTTATTTAGAACCTCCTTTTAATTTGATTATCCTAAATGAAGTAAAGAGTACATGGATTCAGAAATGTTTGGCAGGTACCAAAAAGTAATCAACACTAGAAAGCGTCATCATCAGATGGGTGTATAAAATGAAGGCCTCAGGGATTCGCTTTTAGCTAGGTATCATCACAGGTAGTTTGGAGACAAATGCATAATTACTACTGATAAACTTTATGCATGACACCAGTCTTGGTGAAGAGTGAAGACTTTAAAATGATGCTGTTTACCCTTTAAAATCTATGAATTTATGAAACCACTAGGAGCAGAAGGTCTGATGAGGTTGAAAGTAGGATACATAACCTCTCACTTTCAGGCCAGTAACTCAGACACTAAGTTGGTCATCAAGGAAAATCATTGACTGCTGCACAGTCCATGTCTGCAGTTGGAACATGACAGTAGCTCATTTCTCATAGTTCTTTAAAATGTGCAATGATAAAATGATTGCATAAAGAAGTTTTTCCTGAACATAACCATCTTTCAAGGTTACAGTCCCTCATCCTGAAGGAGAGGTTCAAATACAATACTGCCTTCTAACATGTGCCCATTCAGTACTGAAATAGAGATTTATACCTAGTTGTGCACATTGAGAAGTCCCAGTTCTCACAAACTTTTGTCTCCCATTTGTCTCTCATTGACAAGCCAGGCAGGTCTCCATCAAGGGAACTGGGGTATTTTCCATTTCCACCACTGCCGGTGTGAGCCAAGCTAGTGGGTGCAGCCAGTTCAAAAAGTTATCCATACCGCAACAGCTTGCATTTGCTTTGGCTATCACAAAAAGGAAAACAGTAATTGACATAAAGACAGGGGCAAAGGTAAAATCCCTGTGTCAGGAATGATTCTGGTCATCACAGGAAAGAATGAGTAATGATGGGTTAGTATATTTGAGTGTGGACTTCCATTTCTGCTCAGCCAACTGTGATGTATAAAGAACGTTAATTTCCACTGTTATATGACAAGTACAAGTTAATTCTGGGGATGCTCTGACTGGACACAAGGAGAACTTTTCACAGTGAGAACAATCAGCCATTGGAATAATCTCCCCAGGGAAGTCGTGGATTCCCCAGCATTGGATGCTTTTAAGTTTGGGCTGGACAGGGTGCTGGGCCATCTTGTCTAGGCTGTGCTTTTGCCGAAAAAGGTTGGACCAGATGATCCTTGAGGTCCCTTCCAACCTGGTATTCTATGATTCTATGACAGTTGTGAAGTGCAGTTTTATTTACTTTGGACTGAGGGATTAAGCCATCTTCTGTTTATGAAGTCTGACATGGAAGAATAATGATTTTTATAAACAAAAGCACTAATGAGGTTTTGGAAGCAATGGACAAAAGTGTTTTAGTTTAACATTCATTATTTTCTTGTTATTTTCTCCTTCACATGCTTTTATTTCCCTACTATCCAGTGATGTGGGATCTGATTCAGATAACAATATCAGACAAATAAACCAAGAAGCAGCCCATAGGCGGTTCCGCTCTCGGAGACACATTAGTGAGGATTTGGAACCAGAACCTATGGAGAGTGGAGACATTCCTGAGGTATGTAAAGGTCTTGGGTTTAAGAAGTTGACTAAACTTCAAGCTGATGTGTTTCTCATTTGTAAGCTAATTACTGTACAACATAAATAGTCGTGTTTTTACGTGGTGTTTGTGGAAATTGCCTTAGTAAAACACCCGTGACACAATAAAAATCCTAAACAGAGCTATACTTTCAAGGTCCGATGCATTTGTGAGTGCCTGATAATGTAGGCACAATATTAAATACTATGCAAATGTTGGGAGAAACATTTATAATTCCAAGCACTGCTTGTTATATATATGTTAATAGAAACACTTTCAATACTGTGCTTTGAATAACACTGGAATAAGTTGTGAAAAGAAGGGAAAAATACTGGCCAGAACTGCCATGTAGTTCAATTTTCTTTAGTTTCTTGATTTAGAGGAAAGAGCAGCTATTGTTTTTTTTCCCCCAAATACTTTATTTTAGTTAGAATTCTTATTAATCTTATTAATCAGGGTGAGTGTTTGTTTACTTTATAGCTAGACTAAATAAATTAAATTTGGTAGATATTTGTAGGCCTAAGTGAGAGTTTGTGCAAATCTAATCCCATTCAACTTTAAGGAGTATTTTATTATGTGAATCACAGACAAAATTCTTTGTGAAAGCTAGTTTTGGGTCACTAAATGTTATCAGAGCAACAAATAAATGCTTAAACTATTGTTGCAGTCATCGCCTGTTAGTATTTGATTTGCAGATTCTAATGAGTACTTTCTATTATGCATTTTATTCTAAATTAAAATTAACAGTTGTTTCTTAAAAGTTTTTAGTAAGAGTGCAAAATTAGTTACATTTTGAACAAAATTTCAAATGGAATTTATTTAATGGGAGTTCTTCTTCATGCATCTTTTCATCTACATCATTTTCTGTGTTGAATCATAAAGCACTGTGTCATCATCAACATGAAGACCGTTCTGAAGCCAGTGTGAAAATCATTTTCCCCTGTGTGACTACTTTACACAGAGTAGAACGTTTGTTCTAGGGACTGGTTTATTTTGTTAAAGATTAAGGCTGATTATCACACCTGTGTTTGTCATAATGAGGTGGTCACATAGAAGGCAAAGGGACAGAAAACTCGGTCTGTCTTTATAAATCCTTAACATAGTTTTTTCTCTTCTGTTAGCCTTGGGAAACCATTTCAGAGGAGGCAAGTGCAAGTGGAGATTCCTTAAGCTTGTCCTTGCCACCCCCTCCTGCATCTCCAGTATCCCGTACCAGTCCTCAGGAGCTATCCGAGGAACTGAGCAGAAGACTTCAGGTCACTCCTGATTCCAATGGGGAACAACTCAGTTCTTTGATTGTACGTGACATGCTGCTCTTTCCATATAAAACTATTACTGTAATCGTCTGTTAATTTAACATAATCTGAATCATACATAATCATAGTCATAATCTGAGCATGAAGTAAAAATTACCTTCCAAAAATTATCTTCCAAAAAATGCATCATAATTTCACCATAAAGCAAACTGCCTTGAACAACAGAATTCCTCAGTTTACGTTTAATGTTTTCTTTTGTGTGAGTTTAACTTCTGACTCTGCTACTGTTATACGTTTAGTGAAACAAAATAGGTAATACTAGAGAGTATCAAGCTATCATCATCCATTTTACGACATGGTAATTTTTCTTAAGTTCAGTATTTTAACTATACATGTTAAAATTAAAGCATGTGCTTTCTTATATTAGGATTTTATAAAGCCCTCATAGTTTACTGGATCAACTATTGTAAGACAAACAAAGGATTAGAATTGGAAGTAGGTTGTTCTGGTGAAATCCTCCACAAGTTTGTAAATGGTTAGTCTGGAAAAAATTTGTCTCTCACCATAAGAGCTTACTTGAGGTAAAACCAAAAAAATGTTCTCTATATTTGTGTTACCAATTACTTTGTCAGACTGATGGTACCATAAAAATTAAGGATAATACATTTGGAAGTGGGGGAATGTCTTATGTGTCTTTGATTAAGAAAACAATTGTAAGTATTAAACAGAACATCGTGCTGTGATAGATTCTTTTTTTTTTTATTATTATTGGTAGATGCCTTCAGGGTATCTTTGCAATTCAAGAGATAAGAAATTGTATTTACTCTTGTTCTGATTAAATAGAATCTTGATTAGGTGCAAGTTTTTCACGAAGAGCCTATGCAATAGGTGTCTTATAATGATTTGAATGTTATCTAGGGGTTAGTTAGCAAATCATAGTTTTGATGGCTAACCATCTGCATAAAGAGTCACTTGTGCTTTTGTAGATAACTGCAGATTTTAGTAGACCTTCACTTGGAGGGCAGGAGGTTAATCAGATTGTTTCAGTGGCAAGATCAGGGCCTATATTTTTTTTTACACTAACAATAATAAATAAATTGTATAGCTGCAAGGTTATCTTAATCAAAATAATTCAATAATTATATTCCTATACAAACTAGCTCTTTTATGAGCTATTAAGTAATAGCATCTTTCTTATCAGTGCAATAAAAATTATCCTCAGGCCACACTTGCAAAGTAAGAAATTGTCAAAGCATTTAAAATCTCTGTTACTGTGCATTATCCAGTGTAAGAGTGTTGGGGTGCTTAAAGTAACAGGAAAAACCAGACAGTGAAATTACTCTTAAGATGCCTTGCTGAGGCACCCAGAAGTCTGCATACAGAGTGAGTGGGTCAGCAGTATTTAGTGTGTAGCCCCAGCATATTTGTCAAGGCAGCTCATGTCTCTAAACTGTGCTTCCAACAGCTCTGGCCTCTGTGAGAGCTTACTGGCCTGATCCAGCACTTGAGTCTGAGCTGCTTCCATGTGAATGAACAGTGCTTACCCTGGGGTAATGAATCCTCCCAATTTGGAGGCCGACAGGCACAGTACAGAGACATCCAAGAGCTTCATTTGGATTGAGCCAGGTAGGCAGGAAATGTTTGGCACTTCCAGCTGAACACAAGCTATAATCCATGTGCTCAGGTATGTCCACGTGACATTTCCTCTTGATCCAGATTCCCGAAGGCTTGTGAGATCAACTTCGTGACTTTACATGGAGGAAGCTTGGTTCCAGGGTTTGTCCCAAACCTACCAGCTCTAAACTGGCTTTACATAAAGCTGGCTCAGATCTCCAGGTTGTAGGCTGAAACTAGAAGCCCTTACAGTTGCATTTCCCCAACAGCATGCCTAGTATATCCAGCCTGACCTTTGTTTTACACAGAGACGGCTCCAATGTCTCTACATCCATATATAGTTCATCTGCAACATGGCTAAATTGCCAACAGATAGTTGAGGAGTGATTGTTTGTGTGTTAAAGTATTTTGTCACTCTCCTCATCTATCTATGTAATGCCAGAAAACACTTCAGACTTGCTGGTCAACACATTTGTCAGACAAATCCTTTCACATTAGTGTAACACAGAAGCACGAATTACATCTTTTTTTCTTTTTTTCTTTTGTAAACACTGATCTTTTAACAGAATGTGCTCTTAGGACTGACGTTTTCAAGTAAGAGTTGGAGTTTCTGATATGTCTTTCAAATAGTTTGCTTCATGGTTTTGCTTCGTTATCTTTCAGTGGTACATAAGGGTGCCCATGTGAGTGGTTATAAATAGGCTAGGTCATTTTCTTGTTTATTAGTGCATTCATACTCGTACCATTAATATCCAAAAAAAGGTTATGCTAGTTACTCTTTGATTAAAGATGAGGTACCAATTATGCAAAATAATAAGTTTAAGAATTACCCAGGGCTTGTTTCTCTACAGGGAACTTAAAACCTCAGTCAAACCACACAGAAAAACTGTGAGAAAATGCATTTGAAGTGAAATGCTATTTGATTGATTTTATTGAATATGTAGGAATACTGTATTTTACTGAATACTGGTTGGTCCTGAAGTGGTCAGGCAGTTGGACTAGATGATCTTTGTAGGTCACTTCCAACTGAAATATTCTATACCTAGCTTGCTTTCTTGCCAGCTCTCATGACTACAGTATTTGTTGGGGGTTTTTTTGTCGTTATATGGGATTTCTCATGAGAGTAACAAGAAAAGGTTGCTGATGCTATGCCTAGTGCCTTCTAGATGTCTTGGTACCAGCTATCAGGGATATCTCAAAGTTACTGTAATACTGACGTATGTCTTATGTTGGCCTACACCTTGTAGAATGGGTATTAATTCTACAGGACAATGGTTGCTCACTGATGTAGGCAGAACATTAGTTCCTTCTTAAATATAAAGAATATTAGTGTGGCACATTAGTGCCTTCTGAAACATTTTTTAATTGGATAGCAAACATCTTGTTGTCAAGAAGAAAAAGCTGAAATTATCTTTAGCGGTCTTCCTTGTAATTTTGGGATGTGAAAAAGCCTCTGTGGCTGTGAGTCTCAAAAACAATGCTGTAGCAAGTGGAAAATGTAATTATTGATCCTTGTTATTTCTTGGGTGTTGTCCCTTTATAATCTGAGCATGTCCCATATGGAATGGAATTCAGTCACTTGACACCACTGTGCTTTATCACCTTATTTTTGATAAATCTCAGAGGTTTGTGAGGAATTACGTTTTAGTATCAAGCAGACATGCTAGCATATCTGCTTTTTTTTTTAGGGCTTTTTTGTTTCTAATTCATGATCATGAAGGATGTTCTTGAGAAGTTTAAAAACTAGAAGGCAAAGAGGAAAATTAAGACTTCATTTTTTTTAAAAGGAATACTGTAAATTTTTAAGTAAATAATTTTTTAAGACTTTGAGGTCTTATCCATAGTATTTGATTTTGGATTTATTTTTTAATGCCTAATTTTTGTCAATAATGCATGCCATCTGTGGATTTCACCATGAAGTATGTGAAAACCAAGGTGGAGCATTCACTCCCTGAAGAGCTGTATTACAGCTACAGTTTTCATTGCAATGTCTGTTTTTAAGAGAAGTGTCATCTGCTTAATTTTTGTCTAAGAAACAATGTTCTTCGCTTAATTGCTAAGATTTTTTTTTCCATCCATCTTAAAATTTTTTCTTGCCAGACAAATTGGCCTGCTTTTATGCTAAGTTTTCCCATCACTTACACTTAAAAAATCATGTGGGACAGAGGATTTTTAACGTAAGCGTTGCCCTTTCTATTTGACCTTTCCAAAGAAATTCATAGCAATTCACCTGATCCTCACCAATTTCAAACCAGAATTCCTGGAGTTAGTATTTTGACGTGGTGTAATACTGCTGCATTCTGCCTCTGTTTTTATGATAGTAGGGGAAAAAAAAATCACATCTTTTTTCTATCATAATTTGCCCTTTTTTACAATATATAGGAAGGGTCTCCATCAACAGAGAAATGGTATATGCCACCACCTGGTAAAATACAAGTAAATACTAATTATTTACAGGAGATTTATATTTATAGGTGCCCTAATGATCATTAGAATATAGAGTTCTATCTCTAGCAGTTAGTTTGGTTTTGTATGAAATTTCTGGAATAACTCCAGCCAGTAAACTTCTGAGCACTTCTCTGCCATTTGTTAAACAGTAAACTTTAAAGCTGTCTTAATGTTATTATTGAAGAATAAGCTAAGCATCATGTACTAAGATGCAAATTTGGTAATTTCTTAATATGCCAACAGACGAGCTCAGCAAGGCTTCCACTGTGGCTGTAATCCTAGTGGAAGTTCTGCAGAACTTGCTGCTTTCCCAGCCAGAGACTCAGGGTGTCGTAGACACGAGAACTACATAATAATCCCCTGTGTAGGATTGGCATCCTCTCATGGCCCTGTGCAAGTAATGAATATAGGGGTTAACTGGTGCAGTAAGCCATATGTAGAAATTTGTTAACTCTAGCCTATTGATATTTCAAGGACTACATTGCCAATATTCAGCCAGAAGTTGTACAGTTTCCTTAAGCTGCTTATGTTCTCTCCAGGTTCTCCAAAATGTCTTCCAAAGATATTTGAAAATAGTTTTTCGAAAGGTCCATGGCATTCTCATGTCCCATTATGTCTCTAGTTAATCTTCCCCTTTACTGCTGTTTCCACAACTGTTAGTTTTCCTGTATGTTTTCCCAGATGGGATGGCCTATCCTATTCTCTTAGATTAGGCCAATAAAACATTGTAACTTGGATGCTGAAGATGAGTACAAGATGCGTATCCATGTAATTTCCTTTTCTCAGTTAATTTGAAACAGTCCAGGATGGAATGCTGCGAATTCAGATATTTCATTGCTTGCCATGTTTCTGTAGAGGTATTAAAACTAAAGGCATGGCAACATAAATATTTTTTTTTAGGGGTTTGGATTAAATGGGAGAAAAGTAAAATTACTGAATAAACCCCCGTGTTTTAAGACATCTTAACTTAAAGACATCTATCTTTCTTTTTTTTTTCCAGCAAAGAGATCCCTCTTCAAGATTAAGATCTTGCAGCGTAACAGACACCGTTGCTGAACAGTCTCAATTATCCTTGGTAAACCAAAGCTAACTTCTATTTCTTTCTTTTTGTTTGAACACTCTCTGATTCTGAATAATATCTTTTTTTAGGTCAGTTCTAGTCAGATATAGATCAGTAACCAGTATGGGCCTATGACTATCCCAAATAGTAATGGATACCAAATTAATATCATCATGGTCAGCAACTAAAGGGAGGACATTCATGAGAGAGAAAAATGTTTTGAGACTGAGAGCACAGTCATACTAACTTCAGTTATCTAACATTGAAATTTAGGTTACTACACTTCAGATATATAGTCAGTGGAGAGAGAAAATCCTCAAAGGGGTGTTTTCAGCTGGGGTGGGAGAGAGCAGGAGCACCATCTATACTTGAAACTGTAGAGATGCAGGACTCCCTTATCAGGTATATTTTTGTGTCCCATAAATTGATTTTACTTGGAATATATAAATCTGTATAACATTAAAAAGGATTGGTGTTTTACCTAGTTGTAGCTGAAAGGAGCCTTTTTGTGATAGTCCTCACACGATAGAACTGAATAGAATTGCCTCTGTTGTGGTTTTTTAATCTAAGTGATTTAGGTAAGCAACTTCTGCAATGTTATCTAAGTAGATTCTTCAAGCAGGAAAAGGTACAAAGATGTTTTTTAAAAAAAAAGCTTCTCTTTCACGTGATAACCATGCACAGCTTTGATCTGATTGATAGAAAGTTCTACATATTTTGTCCTACAACCCTAGTATGAGGATTGCAAAGGTGGTAGGCTGTAGAGAGACTACTTAAAATAGGATTGTGCAAGATATGCTTTTGAATAACACTGTTCAGATTTTCAAAATAATTTAATACTTAAAAAAATGATACTTTTCTTCCAGGATTTTTTCCCCAGTTTTTTATTAGAAATATATTACATATGAATCTATAAATAGTAAATTTGTGTATCTTTTTATGGAAATGTTGATAAACAGAGTATATCAGTAAGTTTGTTATTGAAGCTGATGTCTCTGCTCATTCTTTCTCTTGCTGTTGGGCAGATGTTTACAATAACCATAGTGTTTTTCTCTCAGTTTAATTTTTTCACAAGTTCTAGAAGTTCTTTAGTGTATCTACATTTGCTGCTTACAGATGCATGTAATAGCTGTTGTTGAAAGAACTGCTTCTGAAGTATTATCTGTCTTTTTACTTTCTCTTCTGGGTAAACAATGGTGTGGTAAGACAGCCTTAACTGTCTTCTCTCTCTACTAGACAAAGTTGACTCTGAATGCAGTCTGTTCCAGAGGTGTTCTGCTGCTTTATTTAATATCACTTTATAGAGTCTGGGTTTCTTTAACTGGTGTAGTCAGATTGGGATTGTGATGTGTCTTTTACTTTATTATTTTAGAACACTTGTTTCATTAGCAGATGTTCAAAACAGCAGAATTGAAAGCATTGCTCTAAAAGAAGGATATTACCTGATCTTAACCATATTTAATCCTTACTGAGCTAATGATAATTTATCTTCTAGCAACTAAATACATACTTTCTTTCTAAATACAGTGCGCTCCTTGACTGTATTAATCCTTACTGAAAATTCATACTATAAGTTCCATCTTTTTCATCTGACTTTTGTGCACTCATTGATGACCAGAATGTATCAATTTTGTTTTTAAATACCATGTTTATGGGCAGAACATGCAAAATTTGTTGGGCGGTTGGGGATCATGTTACATTTAGAATAAATGTTCTTATTATTATCATTGGCAGTACTGAACATATAGAATTGGATACAAGAACTCTTGAAATTAGTTCCCTTGGTGGTTATTGTATGAGATTCTGACTTGGTTATCAGTGATTGATGACTCAATTTTTTTGCTATTATCTTAAACACTATTTCCATCTAATTGTGCTCGTTTAATAAATTTGAGTGTCTGTGATTACTTACTCCTAAAGATGTGACAGTAATCTGTGACCTTCATCACTAAATATACTTATCTGTAACATTAATTATCATTTAACAGCAGAGTGGTCCATCTAGGAGAGCTCGTTCTTCAACTGTCACAGGTGGTGAGGAACCAACGGTAATAATACTCTTTATCAAGCACTATCTCTAACTAAAATGTGGGTAGATATAGGTCTTGTACAGTAAGGAACTTCTTTTCACAAAGCAGCAGCATGTTGAATGAAATACAGCCACTGAATCAATAGATGTATTTTTTTGTTGTTTCAAATTTTCTCAAAATTTCTCAAAACACTGTGATTTCACTCAAATACTAGCATGTTTTAATGATGTGGATATGCCACTAAGTTTTAAGCTATGCACTAAGGAAATACCATAGGCTTCTAAAAAATGAGAGATAAAATACCTAATTCATTAAAAACTGATACTGAAAGAATCAGCGGTTAAAGACATCAAATCAGTATACATGTAGCTGGTTTTTAGCTTGCATCTGTCTTCCCTTACTCTCCATTAGACTAATTAATTTTAATTCTTAAAGTTGATCTTAATTTGAGAACTGTGGAGATACAGTGATACATCACATAGTTCTTAGTGGTTTTATTTAATGCCAGTTTTCATGTTCTAGTAGTTGTTCAGCAGTCCAAGGCTGAATTTTTAATTTGATCATCCCTACAAAAATTCTGGAAGTGCTTTTCGGAAAGTGTAATACAAGGAGGGTGGTTTTAATTTATATTGGACTTTGTCAGAAACATCCCATTCTTATTTAACCTGATTAAATGTCAGTCTGAAGCAAGTTATTTTATGGAAATCATTTTACAGTAACTGTCATAAATAGCTTTTATGAATATATGCGCTCCTAGATAGTATGTTTCAGGGAAAGAAATATAATTTAAACTTGGTGTGTTTCCTATTTATATGTGGTAATGTCAGATCTTAATTTGGCTGTTGATGCATCATTCTGTAATACTGTCTATATTTACTGTTTTTGAATTTTAGAATCAGAGGATTTTGTATTTGTTCCTGCAAATAGCAAATTTTTTTGTGTCGTTGCAAAACCTGCTTGACTTGTTAATCATTAGTTAAAATGTGTGCTATATTGAACTGTAGTGTACAGGTCTTTTGTTGGCAAAGCATCTTGTCTTGATTATACTTTTTAGGACAAAATATTAATATTTTTCTGCAAGTGAGTTCAGACTTCACTGACTCATAATTAATACAGCTATATCATAGATGTTTTACCCAATTATATTGCAGCTTGCTAATGGGACCTTACCCCCCCCACTTTGTCTTTGTTCAGCATGCATTTATACTCTGAACCACAAATCTGTAGAGGACTTAAGTCTTAAATTAGGATTCATGCATTTAAATCCAAAAGCAGTATCTTCAAAGGTTGCCATTCTCTTTGTCCTTTAGGAACCTAAAGTTTGTAGACGTACAATCTGTCAATAGTAAAAGTTTCTGGGTCACTTTAGTTTTGCTTTCAGAATCCGTACAAAACCCCTCATTGGACTGGGACCCACAAATTAGATGTTCTTCAGCCTCAGTCCCTAAAGAAGCATGATTCTGCCAGCATGCTGGGAGCATGCCTAACACAGAGGGACAGGGGCGGACTGCACAAAAATGGGATGCCGTGGCATCTTAAGAAGTGATGATGCTCCTTTTTATAACTGGCTTAGTTAAGTTACTTACAAGCAACAAGCACTGAGTTCTGTGCCCTCCTACGTATGAGATGATTTAAATCCACATCGCTTTTTCAGGAATAGTCCCAGTGCAGGACTGTCTTTCCTCTTGAATCTGTTCTGCAGTGAGAATGAAAGACGCGTTGCACTGGCAAGGCAGCAGTAACCATGCTTGGCTCTTTAGCCTGATGACCAACGCAATCAGCGAGCTGAGCCTCTTCAGGAACAGCAGTTACACCCAAGAGTGGCATATCCTGACTGATTGCTCTAATTACTGTTGTTTTGTGTGAGAGTTGATATTACTGCCATGGCCCTGCAGTGTCTGGTTTAGAGTGTGACTGAAGTAGGAAGGAGTCTGTGTTGATTTGTCATTTGTCTTAGCAAGCTTTGGGGCCTGAGGAGGCTATTAAAGGGCATATTCATACACATTAACATTACCTGATTTTTTTCTCCCTGTGGGTCCAAGTCTAAGCATTTAGATAGCTCATAAGAAATCAATACACTAAATATTATGTATAACTGTAAAAATGCTACATCTGCCCTAGATACAGTGTGGGTGACTTTGTATGTTGGTTGGTAACAGAAAATGAACAAATTTGTTACTTGAGTGTGTGTAACGAAGTAGGTGATGACTGTAGATAAAGTGCGTGTTTGGATAAATGTATCTGGGGTTATTAACCACTTTGCTTTTCAGGATTTTTTTTTTTTTTTTTTTTTAAGTTCCCAAGGACCTTTACCATTCCTCTGTGAAGGGTACATTGTAAAACTAGTCCAAGCAAAATATAAATTAATGCATCATGTGTCCCAGCATCTCCATACTCATGACATTTTGTCTTTAAACCATAATACTTCCTCCCCCACACACACTGTTTACTGAAGACAGTTGTTAAAAACCATTCAGGTTTTGGGTAAAAGGCTCTTGATAGATCTCCCAAGTTTCTACTCTGTGTGGTAGAATATCTTTTACACTGATATCTCACGTACAGAAAGGAGATTGAAGGACAAACTCTGTTTTGCAGATTGCATTGTGGGTTGCATTAACCCACAATGAATAGTAAGGAAAAACGCTGCTGATAGCTGAATTTATTTTGGTAGAGTGTTAAAGAGAAAGGAAGGATCAGGTGGCATAACTAGAGCATCTTTCTTGTGTTTCTGTATCCTTACAGTTGAAGTTGATAATTTGCAGCATGCCATTATATAGTGAATAGATTTTGTATTATTACAACTAAATGATTCAAACTTTTAGTTTAAAATCTCTGAATTTTATGTTAAATATACTTAGCTTTTTTCCATCACAAGAATGGTCATCGGTGCAGTTGTCACTTTACCAGGAAGACTCCTTTCTAAATCTAGAAAGCTTAACAATTGGTTTCTAACCTATGTGAAAGTATTTGATAATTTTCAAGGCTGATTCTGCCCTTGGTTTTATTTTAAGATCATACTAAAAATTTTTAAAAGGTATTCCTTAAACATATTTAATCTCTTATTCATGTGCACTGCTTTGTATTCCAACATCCATATCAGGTGTTCATGGAATTCAATTTGCATTCACCTAGTGAGAATTAAAGAGCTCAGAGCCATGTATGGCTCTTTACTAGTTAGAGAGTTCCTACTTTGCAGGACTGAGTCTTCAGTCATTGATCTTTACCAAAATCATTTGCCTGTAGAGCTGATCCCCTTCTGCCTGCACTTAGGCTGCTTGTATATGAATCAATGCCGATATTTTTATTAAAGGTGTAAAATAATTGCTGGGAAGAGTTGATCACTAGCACAAACTCCAAAAAGAATAGTATGTCTCAGCCTCACATCAAGAGAATGAGTAAATCAATGAGCTAGGGGTAGATACGGGTTTTTCTTTCCTCCATTCTGTGGGAGCCTGAGTTAAACCACTGTAGGCAGAGACATGTATCATGGCAATGATATCAACAATTTAAAGCAAGGAAAGGTGCCTCTGCTGCGAGCTTTTTTGAGAATTTTGCCCACATCTGAGATGACCGTCTGCAACGCAGCCATGATAAAAGCAGACTGCTAGATGAAGGCATTTCGGTTCGTTTTCTTAGAATTGCAAAGCTGCCTATTTCTAAAGGAATTAATATTATTGATGATTAATTAAAGCACTGCACAAAGTGGTAAGACAGTGCAGTTCAAGCACTGTTCTTTACTGTCACGTGATGAAGACCTTTAGGTTTCATCATCCTTCTGCTATGAAGGCAGATATTTTGAAAGAGTGAAGCCATCTCTAGCATTATAGTCTCCTGATAATTAATGTATAAATATATTTTTAATGTATAAATGTATATTTTAATGTATAAATGTATATTTTAATGTGATTAATAATTAAACCAAGTGCACATTGAACCAAAGATCCAGACATGGCTACTGAAAAGCACCTTGCACAAGCTGAGTCTTTGATGCAATTATTAATGCATGGGCTTCATTGAGAGCAAAAATACTGTCCTGCAGAGTTTCGCAGTTTGCTTCTATCTGCTGTGAATGACAGAAATTCCTGTATCTCTCTAGCTCTTAGTATTTATAACAACTACTTGAGAAAAACACCTGAGTATTCCGATTTTCTTGTTTGCTTCATGGACAGCCAGGATACCTGTTCTTAAACCATTATACAAGCAAGTGATGTCTTAAGAGAAGAGGAGTCCCAAACTAGAAAGTGACTAAGCTTAATGTAGATTTATGTAGAGTGTATGGTCTAAAAATGGTAACTCCCTGGGCATCCTCCCCTTCTAAAGTACATATTCAGATGCCGACAGGGTCAGTGTTAAAAATTCTCTCTAGGCTATTTTTCTTCAAGAAGCTTTGCCATTTATGTTACAATGTTTTGGGTGGGTTTGGGTTTTTTTTTTTTTGGGGGGGGGGGGTGTCCCTCTCCTCTGTGCGTCCCAGAAAAAAATGTCCAGTTGGTTTAAGCATTGAATATTTTCCTCACTGGAAGTGCACAAGACAATATCAGCAACACACAGTGACATAATTATTGTGTTGAATGGTGACATAACGTGTTTAACGACAATTAGTGCCTTTGGCACCATTATCATTATCCATGTATTTTCGTTAGAACAATGTCTCTCTTCTGGAACTTTTCGTAAAAAAAAATCTTTTCATACTAAAGTTGGGGCTCCAATTTGGGCTGTATCTTGTGTCTTCAGGACACCTAACCCTGAATGTGCAACATTTTAACTAGTAACAAAGTGGTTAAACTTCAGTTTTTAAACCCACAGTGGTTTCTTGCAACTGATTCAAGACACCCTGTGGTAAAGAAAAGAACAGAACCTGGGAGATCTTGACTCAGCTGCACGGTTACTTCAATTCTTACTTATCCATACTAATAAAAGGAAAAAACATCCACCTTTTTAAGGAAAAATCATTAAAACACAGAGGTCCTTTTTGTCATTATGTGTAATCTACAAATTAAAAAGTTTGAGGGCATACAAGCTTAACTGTTTTCTGAACAAGATGCCTGAATCTGCAAAAGGGAATCAAAAGATCTGTTGTGAGAAAAAATTATTTGACTCAAGGGTACATGAAGAAGAGCTTATATTAAATGAAATCAGAAACCATATTTTTCTGTATGTTTGTTGTGTTTAAGGATGTTGTAAGTTAAGTTCCTCTTTTTTAAACAACAGACTTATGAAATATATTTTTTTAAGCTATTATAAAATAACAATACAGTAATTTCTTGCTTGAACAGCCTTCAGTGGCCTATGTGCATACTACACCAGGCTTACCTTCAGGCTGGGAAGAAAGAAAGGATGCAAAGGGCCGTACTTACTATGTCAATCATAACAATCGAACCACAACATGGACACGGCCCATTATGCAGGTATGAAGATCTGTTATAATGCTTAATTTAGGTGGCAAACACTTAGCATGTACTGAGTATAATTTCAGTTGAAGCAGCTCTTCAGAACTCTGAAATTTAAAAAAAAAAAAAAGTCCTAAGCATTGTCATGGCAACTCAGGATAATCATAAAAAATTGCAATGACTGGGATTTTTTTGTTACTTCTTTTAACTGTGTTAAGGTACAGGTTAAGATGATTGCTACAATGGAGGGAATTTACAGAGAGGTACTTATGAACTAATAAAAGGAGGCAAATGCATTCTTAGGATTGAATTTGAAAGTTGTGTTGATCTGTTAATAGTACCATATAAATATTTGCCCTTCCAATGGAATTAAATACTTCCAAGAAAGTATATGTAATATTTCATAATAATAATAAATAATGACATCATTTTTTAAGTGTGCTAACTCTGGATGAACTGTGTTTCTGACAATTTGCTAAGTTGGTTTTGCTTCTGAAATAGCTTGCAGAAGATGGCATGGTCGGGTCAACAGCAAATAGCAGCAACCATTTAAGTGAACCCCAAATAAGACGGCCTCGAAGCCTCAGTTCACCAACAGTAACTTTATCTGCTCCACTAGAGGTGAGAAACACTGTTGCCAAGAAGGGTTACTTACCCCTGACTTCTCATTCTTCCTTGGCCTTACAACTTTTTATTTCCTTTTTAGTTATGCAACACAGCCACTTTTCCCTATTATTGATTCTGCCCTAATATATTGCTGTTTTCTGTAGCAGTTTTCCATCTGGATCTTGATATTGTACAGTAGTATTACTTCACTTTTATGGTCATTGAATGATGTATTTTATATATGATTGTTTGGTTTGGTCAGCTAAAACGTGATCTGTATGCATGTTGGAAATGCGTTGTTGTGACTCCCTTCAAGTGCTATGAGTGTAATAAAGCAGAAATATTTTCTTAAGTTGAAACATTTATTTTGATGCTGGTAACTTTGAAAATAATACATGCAATTGAGTTTGGAAAATCTTTGAATTAAGACAGTGATTGCGTTTTATATTCCTTGTCTTTCAAAAGGGTATTTAATTTCTTTTAAGTATCTTCAAAAGTAATTCAGACTACTGTTGAATGATGTTTACTGAAGCATGTCTGAAGAATAACTTAAGTGGCTTCTTACTCAAAGACAATGTGTGTTTTACTTTTGAAAGTGTGATTAAAACTCTTGAATCAGTTAAACGTGGCTGTGTTGAGGAGAGTAAGTTCTTAAAAATTTCTTCTTCAGACTTAAAGTATGGCACCTATTTTTGTCCTTCTCTCTGATCTTTCCTACTTGTGTCCCCTTTGTCCCTGCAAAAGTTTGCCAACAATCAAGTGAAGATTGTAACATTTAATTCATTTTATGCATCATTCTTTGTTCCTTATACTGAAATGTATTCAAACTGTTGAGCAAGTTGTTAAACAGAAGTAGGATTATTGGACAGATTGTAGTGAGGTGATTATAGTTCATATTTAAAATAAATTATCTCTATGTATATGTAATTCAGATAAACCCTTGAACAGTTAACTGCTTAAAACTACCCTTGCCACTGTTAATTTTGAAGACCAAATTTACTGTAATTTAAATAAATTAAAAGATTCTGAATATCTTAAACTAAAACATTAAGGGCGTTCCTCTCCCTATTTTAAACAGTTGAGCTGGTGGAAGTCACTGACTAAGCATCTGAAACTTGAGCTAACTTTTTAGGGCAATAACCTATTCCATAGCTACAAAATCATTATTCTCTTCACTATTCAACTAATATAGAATATTAGAATATTCAACTAATCAGTTTGGCGGTTAGTTTGTTCAATGCTCACAAGGGTGCTGAAGAGCACAAACTTGTCTTGTTATACCCAACTCTGAATTCAATTTTTTAAAAAAGGTAAGGTGTAGACTTACTAATATTAAAATCGGAAAATGGTACAATCACGAGAAAAAAAAAGAGTTTAACTTTTTAGAAGTTACGTCTTTTGTTTAAATGGTTATTTTACTGTAAAATATTCAACTTTGTGTACAAGACATATGGAAAGCTTTTATTTAAGGCAAGATATTTTAAATGCTACCTTTGAACACTGTAATCTAACTGCATTTTCTATCCAAATGCAGCTCAAAACAGGCCACAAATAAGGCTAGAATAATTTTGTAAATATCAATGTTGGTGCCTCATTTTCTAATACAATACTTAAAAAAAAAAAAAGTAATTAAATGTAGGCCAAGTTAGAGAATTGCCAAAATAAGCATGCGGAGATCTACTGAATCTTAATAATTAGCAAAACTAGAAGAAAACAAACTATTATCATGTATCAGCTAATGAGAGCATGTTTTTGGAAAATAACTGAAAAGTACAAATGCAAAGATTTAAACATAGTATTTAGGTCTTGTTACCTGATTGTGGTGGTCTGTATTTTCAAAGGTGAGTAAATCTGGATCAAATTTGTCAAGCTGTTTAGGTATCTAAACATGCAGTTTCCCAGTGAAATTTTAAAAAAACACACACACACATGATGCAACTTCCATTTTTAACCAGTAGGCATTGATCAGTGAAGCAGTTTTGGGGCTGTGATCATTTACTTTTTTAAAAAAAAAAAAAGTCCAAGATCTGTAATTGCAAATCTCCATTTATTTTAGGAACTTGTTTTAAGTTCATATTTAACTGTTTTGTCTGAAGTTATAGTTGAGAAATATATTGAAAAGTGGATAACATCGCCTCACGTTTAGGATACTCTCTTGTTGTAAAGTAAGATATATTACACCACAAAGCACGAAGCAATCCTTTTATTTTTTACTTTGTAAAATGAAATACTGGCAAGTACAGGGCAGCTGCAGTAAAATATATAATCAAATGTGAATACTGTGGACATTCTCATTGCAGAGGGAAGTGCTAAAATACTGTCCTTCACAGCAAAAAGCTCGATATGTTTATAAGGAGCAGAATTCAGCTAAGTAAGTTCTAGAAAATCAGTACCAGCACTTAATTCTAGTATTAATTACATCTGGAATGAAAAACTATTTGCTGTGAAACCAAGTTTTGTTCATTTACAGTATCAAGTGACATTTGACAAATCTTAGTATCTTTCGTTTTCTTCAGGGTATCAAGGACTCCCCTGTGCGCAGAGCAGTGAAGGACACCCTTTCCAATCCACAGTCTCCACAGCCCTCACCTTACAACTCTCCTAAACCACAACACAAAATTGCACAAAGCTTCCTTCCTCCTGGCTGGGAGATGCGAATAGCACCCAATGGCAGGCCCTTCTTTATTGATCATAATACTAAAACTACTACGTGGGTAAGAGAAATTCTAGATAATGAATTTTAAATCAGTTGCCATCTTTTAAATGTTTCTGTCTTTGTTTTCCTGCCTATATACCCCCCATTTTATTGTGGCATTTGTCTTGTCTTTAAAGGGGGGGATTTGTCAGCCTAACTTTTCATAAAAGTGATGTAGGAATCTCACTGAATCCTACGCAGTCGCATACAGTAGCAGTAGAATTGAGTAGCTAATTTCATGAAATGCCTGTAGTGCTGCCATTGCTGCACTCAGAGAAAGGAAACTTATTTGATCATGTCCTCTTAGATTTTGGTGCATTTATCCATCATGTAGCATGCAATAGTGTTTTGCATTTTGTATTTGACCTTTTTATACTTTACAAATCTTTGCATACAAGTATCGTCCTTTAAATTCCCCATGTTTGGGTTTTAGAGGCATATAGTGCAATGGAGATTTGGATTGTTGTTTAGTTTGAGAGTGTCTGTAACTGTATTGTATTTCACTGTGACTAGCACTGCTTTTTTATTAATATAATGTATGTTCATCTTCAGTTAACGGAATCCATTTTACTACTTCTTTTATGTCACGAGGATCCATTTTTCAATAATTCTGCAATTTTGGTCAATACATTGAAGGAATAAAATTACACTAGGAAAAAAAATGTCAGAGACAACCCAGCATTTCATGTTACCCTTGAAATACAAGTTGCACTTTAATTTGTTAGGCATCATTCAGATTCCCAGTGACCACCAGTTACATGATGTATTTTTAATTGTTGTTCTTAATGGCGTTCCCAGGTGCATTTGGGTAGATTATGTGTATGGAAATCTCAAGCATTTTTTGTCTAGATTTGTCTTCTGTGGCCTATTTTACTTGCCCCTTTTTGCTTCATTTACACATTGATGTAATAACACCTGTGCATTAATAAAAATGTGAGGAGCTCATTTTCATCCTTTTTGAGCCTTTTTGTGATAGGATGGTTTATTTCTCTTATGTTTTTAAGAGCCAAAAATGTGCATATATATCTAAATGCCACTTACAGGAGTGCATGCATTCCGAAGAACAGGGCTGTATTTTTTGAAGCATATCTCTGGATATAGCACACTTAATGGAGTCAAAGTCTCACATCACCCTAACTCGTAACATTTAAAAATTAATTTCAGTATATGAATCCTAACAAAGTTCATGACACATCCCAGTAGTAAATGTTCTGTTGCTTTTGTATATTTTGTTTTATTCTCAAAATATAAGAATAAAAGAATAACTGTAATGTAGAAAGATTTCTTTTAATTCTGTTTGACTTAGTATGTACATCTAACTTGATCTGTTGGGTTTACAGTTCCATATTTCTGTTACAGGAGGATCCACGACTGAAATTTCCAGTGCATTTGAGATCAAAAGCATCTTTGAACCCTAATGATTTGGGCCCTCTTCCTGTAAGTGATAATGTGCATGTATTTTAATATATACCTGCTATCTTATGTGATCTGATTGATTAGTGCAGTCATATTTTGTATGTGGACACATATGTTGCTGTCATCACTTCTCTGAAGATACTAATGCTATGTTTATATATAGCACTAAAAAGCTTTATTGTGATCTGTGAATCAGTCAGGCTCTTTGAAGCCAGCCTGTAGTATTTCTGAAATGATTGCATGTTTCTTTGCTTATCTGAAGCTTTGAGCTTTGAAGAAACTTACCTTGGTTTTATCTTTGACTATGTTCTTTTAGATAATTACCTGTTGCTTTAGGAAAAAATGGAGCAGGTTGTTCAAAGTGAGCTCTGTCAATGTACCAGCATATATTGGCATTCAGAAATCTAAATAAATTTTGATTTTTCAAAGAAACTTCCTTATTCTGCAGAGAAAATTATCATTTTAACATCAGAAATTTCGTCACACTTGTAACCAATGTATAATACTTTTTCACAGCCATGTCAAATACAGAGCTTTGCTTTGTTTATAAAGAACTTCATCCTTAATGGCAGAGACTAGTCTATGAAAGCTAACACTTTTCCTAAGGTGCTGGTTTTTATGGTGTAGTGTTAATTCAGCTCATTGCCTCATATATACTAAGTGTACTTTTGAGAATTTGCCATTGAAATTGTACTTGTAACACTGGAAACCTTAGTGACAGCAAGCCACTAATTGTCACCAGCATTCTCAGTGCTCCAGCACGTATTACAGGCTGTCTGCAAACAGCTGTGCCAGCAGAAGATGCTACTGTCCCACTCTACATGATGTGGCAGATTAAATTATTTTAGTTTTAAATAGTTTGAATAACAACTCTTTAATCCTACTCATTTTCACTGAGTTGGGTTACAGTTTACTTAGATGAACAGCTCTGCCAGCAGACCAAAATGAGTGCTGCTTTTGGGCAAGAGTGGTGACAAATGCTACCTTTGGTGAGGGGTGATAATCTCTGTTACCACCTGTGATCAGACATCCTCCTCTAAAACATCCTAAAATCTCACTGCCCTTGTCTTGATTAGCAAAAAGTTTCCCTTGTATTTAAATCAAGCTAGGCTACTTTCAGGCCCAGCATCTTGAACCACTGATTAGATCAAAAACCACATGCAGCTGAACATATTTATTCTGATGCATTTCCTGGTTACAACACAGCAGTAGTGCAGTTTGTCTTTAAGAAAACAGCTGTGGAAGTAGCTGTTCTTTTGCAGTTCTTCAGATACGTGGGGAGCGTGCATTAATCTTCAAGGACACATTGCTTAGGTAGGAGGTGCTGCATGGGAATAACTGAAGGGCCAACTTGGAGTTTATTCTGTTAATTGCAAGAGATAAAACATGCAGTGAAATCATGTATCACTGGAAATATATAATTAGTAACAGATTTAAACTCAGTTAAACCATTTTTGAGTGAGGCAAGAATGACTACAGAATTTAGCAAGAGTTTCTCAAAAAAGATTGAAATGAAATTACTTCTCATCTTTATTTTATAGAAGTCAAGCTCATGTAGAGCACACAGGTGGAATAAGTGCTAGACTGGACAGCATTGCATACACTAACAGTGTGCCATTTATTCTCCTTTCTATACTATAATCATTTGGAAGATGAGAAAAGGAAAGGGAAGAATTAACGACTAGGTCAGACATTCTTGTCCCACTGTAATGGGATCTTGGCTTACATATTTACAGGTAAATAACCCACATGTATTTCAGCAGTAGAAGCAGAAACTTTCAAACCTAACCAATGATGGACAATCTATTCTTTGTGATCGTTTCCTCATATTAGGAAATTAGTATAAACCCTGATGCAAGAAGTCTCCACTTCCAAGCTTTAAAAAAATATTTACTGTATTGGATAGTTACCTGTATAAATAGCCAGTTCTTTGAATCTTCCTAGATTTTTGGCCTTGACATAATGCGTCTGTGATCATTTTGTGTTTTCTAGCTCACAAGCATCTATCAGGCAGTTTACGTAGATGTGGATAATGTATTCCTTCAAGCTGTGTGAGAGTGGTGGTATTTCACTTATTTTCTCTCCCTTTTTTTTTTTTTTTTTTTTTTTTTTTTTTTTTTTTTTTTCCCAATTCCAGCCTGGTTGGGAGGAAAGAATACATTTGGATGGAAGAACGTTTTATATAGACCATAGTAAGTAAGCACTCCGGTACTACAGCAAATAGACAAAGGGAGGTAATAAATATAGAAGTGAAAGCTTTATAATTTTACTCTTCATTTAGGAAGCCAGGTGTTGATATGTGGAGACATTGATACCAGAGACTTAGTGCCCTCATACGGTACTGTATATTCACTGAAAGCTTGCTTTTAATTGGCTCATCAAGCTTTGTCCCTCTCTGACTTGTGAAGCATTAACATTTCTTCTTTGTGGTTTCTTTTGTTCTTGTTGATATTTTGGATTCGTTGTTGTTGTTGTTGATGATCCCATGGCTTATTTGCTCTTAATAAATTAAAATATACACTAGGAATAGAAAATAAGATGAGAAAAGATCATATAGCCACAACTCCACATATAGGCAGTGGAGAAATTAGCACTGATAAGTATTCTTTCCTCTCCTTTAAGAAAGTCTTGTGGCAGTGCTGCTTCTGATCTTATTTCCTATTTATAGCATGTTAAACTGCACCCAGCCCATTAATATTATTCAGTTCTGTTAGTGAAGTTCTAGTGTAAGTGATGTTTCATTGTAGACTTGTGTTATTACAGCATCTCAGAACTACTGTGTGAGTTTTTGTTGTTGTTTGAAAATAAAGTAGCCCAGAAAGGTTGGGTTGGTGGTTCTTCTTTTTAAGACTTCAGCTGGACTTTATAATGAGATATTTCTATTGATGGCATAATCTTCACAGAAATAGATAACGCACAAAACCATTAGAAGAGGGTACATATGCTGCTCAAAGAATTAAAATCTTAAACTATTACACATATTTGACAGTATTATGTTTTTCCTTCAGTATCAGTAACGCTGACTCCAATGCTTATCCATAGTTCTATATATGGCGCTATTAAATCATTATTAAAAGACTGTCTCTAAAGTAATACAAACTTTGAAATTGTATAAATAATTTTAAATAAAAATTAGAAATAATACACTCGTCAAGCACCACATTAACCTCTTTCAAACATCAGTACAGAATTATTATTCTTTATACCTTTTGTAATTGTTTTTCCCAGCAGATATTTGGAAACTTAAATATGACAAATTGTTCTAAACTGTTGCCACTGAAGAATCACAGAATAAAACTGTCTTATTTAAAATATCTGTATAATTGTTGAGCCTCTCAACCACCTTTAAAGAATTTTAATTTTTCAGTCTCCTAAATCTACTTAAGCATGTGTTAGTCTCTAAAAGTAAATGGAATGTTAAAGTTGTACATTAATTAGAATTCCCCAAAGAGTTTATAATTGTTATAAAACTAAATTTATTTGCATCTGAAATCTCTCTCTAGCCCCTCTTTTGATCTGTGTATTTAGCTTTTTATATAACAGCTTTTACAAGAGTTTAGAGAAGTTTTGTGGTTTTTTATAATGCTGCTTGTTTCCAGCAAATATCCTTTTGGTCTCAATCTGGTGCCACACCACTACAATTACAAGTGGACTCCAGGAGCAGAGGTGGTGCCAGTGGTATTACAGTGGACACGTTGCAGCTCCATTGTGCTCAGTATTTAGGGAATGACTGCAGACAGCATTCAGTGCTCAGTGATTTGGCTTGAGCAATCTCAATAGTAGCATTTGTTTTCACAGTATTGATAAGGAAGTGCAATGACATTTGACCATATTGATAGGTTTATGACAGAGCCTGCTGACTCACTCTTACTTGTTTCATGGCTAACTTGAGTGCATAGGCTGAAATCAGTCATGGGTGCAATCAGCTGTGCTCACCCTAAATATGCAAGTCTCAGTAGTCCATTACCATGATAAACTGGCCATCATTTCAGTCATTCTCTGCTAAAGTGATTAGTTAAGATGCAACAAATGAGTCAGTTTCATTATTAGAATACAATATAAATGTTGAAAGTGTTGACAAATTCAGCTACTTTTAATGTCCTGGTTCCCCGGATACATTTTGTAATTCTTCTGCATAATTATCCAATACTGTTGTCCTATTCTGAAATGTTTTTCTCATCCCTGAGAGAAACTGTAAAGAAGTCTAATGCAACCGGCACAGAAGCCTCCTGTTGTGGAGCAATACTAACTGCTATTAAGCATGCCATATAAACTAGTAAAGCAAAGTACTGTTAAAATAATTTAGGTATTACTTGTAACATAGGAGCCTGAAAATATAATATTTTTAGATTTTAACTGTAAACAGTTCTGATTTCAGCAGCGGTCAATCTTTTAACAAAAAATAGAGTCTCTAGTTCTCCATGATTGGTCCTTAGCTAGCTAAGTTATTTACCATCCATGAATAAAACAGTATTCTCTGTTCATTGTAGCATGCATCTGCGTTTCGTAGGAGCCTTATAGGGAAATAAGATTTATCTGTTGGAAGGTATCATGAAGGAAAACACAGAAGTTTTCCAACCATATTTAGAACAGTTACCCGTGGTTCACTGCCAGGGATGGATATATTAAATGGGTTCCCCTCAAAGTCTGTCTTGGATCCCCCATTCATCAATATATTCATTAGTGATTTGAACAATGAATCGGGGGACTGTACTCAGTGCAGCAGGAAACAACAGGGTAGGAGAGGTGAGAGGTGCTTGCTGGAACAGGATGAGAAATCAGAATGAGTCTGGCAAATTGCCACTGTAGTGTGAAGGAAGATGCTGTTCTATAAGAATTGCAAAGTGTTACTCAGAATGGTAATAATTAGAGAATTTTGGTTGAAAAAGGCATGAAAAATAGCATCAACTGGACACGAGTTAACTTATCCTGTGATGTATCAACAGGAGTGTCTTAAATAAGACCTGAAGAAATCCTTCTAATTTCATCAGCACTGGTAATGTCTTGCCCATGATAATACTGTATCTAGCATGGAGCCCTAAACTTCAAGAAAACAGTGGACCATTTAGAAAGGGACCAAAGGAAACAGAGGAGAAGAGGGAATCCTCAAAGGCCCTAGAGCCCAATTTATGAGGAAAGACAGTATTGTATTTGTGTGAAGGCTCAAAAGAGATGGTAGATTTTAAAAAATGTGCTGCAAAAGGAATTAATTTGTTATCCACATTCACTTCGGATAAGACAGAGGATCTTGAGCTACAATTCCAGGCAGAGTGGTTCATGTTAGGCCCTTCTAATTGTTGGGGCATTTAAGCCCTGGAATAGCATTTATAATATGAAGTCCCTGTCACTATAATACTGGGGGGGGGGGGGGGGGGGGAGAAAAAAA